ATGTCATAGGAGTTGATCCATATTTATATGTGACAAACTTAATATTTCTAGTCCTAAAATTTAAATTTAAAATAAAGAAGCCTGGCTTATTTTATCAATTATTTTCATGAAAACTTAAATATTAGAATCAGGAACAATAGTTTGTCACTTATAAATATGGATCCATTCCTATGACAGAGTTCTGAGAGAAAATCAGTTTCATAACCATTTTACATGAAAAATATTTTAAAATCATTATTTTTAATTGTTTTATTTATAAATAAAATTGTATTTATTGTAATACATCACAGATGAAAGAAAAGCAAGAAATAAAAGTTTTGCAACAGATAATTGTAGTAATTTTTGCTGCAAACATGTTGACAGGATATAAAATCACATTATTTCTTTGCACAACTTGATGTGTGTCTCAAGTTTTTGCCTAATAAACCTCAATTTAATTAATATGGAGTTAAAGCTCATTAAACGCGGAAGTTTTTCGAAAAGTGGGGTATCTGTAGTATACTACAGAATGATTTAAAAAAATTGCGAATAATTTATGATCATTTTAAAAAAGAATTTAGCTTAGTTTAACCGCTCAAAAGTTATTTTTAAATGGTTTTAACAATGAAAAACTCTCTTTTTATTTGAAGTAAATTTTGTCTTCTCTACCAGTGTTGGGCAAAAATTATCTATAGCTAACAGATAACAGATAACAGCTAAATTAGCTATTAGCGGGACCAAGAAGCTAACTTTTAGCTGTTCTTACCGCTAACCGCTAATTATCTTTATCTGTAACTTCAACTAAAAGCTAATAGCTAACTCTTCGAATTTCATTGGTCTTAGAGTCGACTATGGCGTTTTGGGGGGCGCTTTTAATGAAAATAATGTCGGATTTTCGATAGTGCCCCAGGGCAACGAATTTTTGTAACGTCTCTGATTTAATCAATATATGGGTCGACTATGAGGTTTTCAGGGGCGCTTTTTATGAAAATAATGGCGGATTTTAGATAGTGTCCCCGGGTACCGACTTTTTTTAACTTTTCCGATTAAATCGATATCAGGGTCAACTCTTATGTTTTGGGGGGCGCTTTTTATGAAAATGATATCGAATTTGAGATTGGGCCCCCCGGGCCTCGACTTTTTTTAAATTTTCCGATTAAATCGATATTAGGGTCGACTCTTATGTTTTGAGGAGCCCTTTTTATGAAAATAATATCGAATTTAAGATTGGGCCCCCCAGGCCTCAACTTTTCCGATTAAATCGATATTAGGATCGACTGTTATGTTTAGGGGGGCGCTTTTTATTAAAATGATATCGAATTTAAGATTGGGCCCCCCGGGCCTCAACTTTTCGGATTAAATCGATATCAGGGTCTACTATTATGTTTTGGGGGGAGCTTTTATGAAAATGTTATCGAATTTGAGAAGGAGCCCCCCGCGCAACGACTTTTTTGATTAAATCGATATCAGGGTCAACTCTTATGTTTTGGGGGTCGCTTTTTATGAAAATGATATCGAATTTGAGATTGGGCCCCCGGGAACTCGACTTTTTTAACTTTTCAGATTAAATCGATATCAGGGTCAACTCTTATGTTTTGGGGGTCGCTTTTTATGAAAATGATATCGAATTTGAGATTGGGCCCCCGGACCTCGACTTTTTTTAACTTTTCCGATTAAATCGATATTAGGGTCGACTCTTATGTTTTGGGGGCGCTTTTTATGAAAATGATATCGAATTTGAGATTGGGCCCCCGGGCCTCGACTTTTTTTAACTTTTCCGATTAAATCGATATTAGGGTCGACTATTATGTTTTGGGGGGCGCTTTTTATGAAAATGATATTGAATTTGAGATTGGGCCCCCGGACATCGACTTTTTTTAACTTTTCGAATAAATCGATATTAGGGTCGACTATTATGTTTTGGGGGGCGCTTTTTATGAAAATGATATCGAATTTGAGATTGGACCCCCGGAGCTCGACTTTTTTAACTTTTCGGATTAAATCGATATCAGGGTCGACTATTATGTTTTGGGGGGAGCTTTTATGAAAATGATATCGAATTTGAGATTGGCTCCCCCGGGCAATGGCTTTTTTAACTTTTCAGATTAAATCGATATCAGGGTCAACTCTTATGTTTTGGGGGGCGCTTTTTATGAAAATGATATCGAATTTGAGATTGGGCCCCCGGGCCTCGACTTTTTTTAACTTTTCCGATTAAATCGATATCAGGGTCGACTCTTATGTTTTGGGGGTCGCTTTTTATGAAAATGATATCGGATTACGAATCATTTTCATAAATTTTGATATAGTGCCCCCGGGCCCCGACTTTTTGTAACATTTCAGATTTAATCGATATTAGAGTCAAATATTAGATTATGGGGGGCACTTTTTATGAAAATGATGTTGGATTTGAGATAGTGCCCGGGGCCCGACGTTTTGCAACATTTCGGATAATATCGACCTCAGGGTCGACTACTAGGATTTGGGGGACGCTTTTTATGAAAATGATGTCGAATTTGAGATTGCGCCTCCTCATCGTTTTTTTTTTTTTGTACTCTGATCTTAAATTCGACATTTTTTTTTTTATAAAATTCATCCCCAAAACATAATAGTCGACCCTGATATCGATTTAATCCAACAAGTTAAAAAAAAGTCGAGGCCCGGGGAGCCCAATCTCATATTCGATATCATTTTCATAAAAAGGGCCCCCGAAACATAATAGTCTACCCTAATATCGATTTAATCCAAAAAGTTAAAAAAAGTCGAGGCCGGGGGGCCCAATCTCAAATTCGATATCATTTTCATAAAAAGCGCCCCCAAAACATAACAGTCGACCCTGATATCGATTTAACCCAAAAAGTTAAAAAAAAGTCGAGGCCCGGGGGCCCAATCTCAAATTCAATATCATTTTATAAAAAGCGCCCCCAAAACATAACGGTCGACCCTGATATCGATTTAACCCAAAAAGTTAAAAAAAGTCGAGTCCCGGAGGGCCCAATCTCAAATTCGATATAATTTTTATAAAAAGCGCCCCCCCCCAAAACCTAATAGTCGACCTAAATATCGATTAAATCAGAAAAGTTACTGAAAGTCGGTGCCCGGGGGCACTTATCTAAAATCCGATAGAATTTTCATAAAAAGCGCCCCTGATTATATAACAGTTGATCCTAATATCAATTAAAAAATGAAATAAATAAATTTTCGTCAGTTAGCTTTTAGTTAAGTTAATAGTTAATTTAGCGTAAGCTAAAAGTTAGCGGTTCGTTTACGCTAAAAGCTAATTTAGCGGTAAAGTTATCTGCGCTAAAACAGTTAGAAGCTAAATTAACTTCATATTTAGCACCGCTAATTTTAGCTTTTTAGCGGTATGTTAGGTAGTTAAAAATTAGCGCGCTAACGCCCGACTCTGTTCTCTACAGTGTAACAATTGTTAATAACTTAAAATAAATATTTATTTAGTTGTCTCTTCCTATTCAACAAAAACACGACAACTAAAAATGCACAAAACTTGGATTTCCTACTTTTCTGATGAAAATTGGTCCATAGTTTATATGAACTTTGGTGTAGCTCATGAGGTGTACTATCCTTCCTATAAAAATTTCCCTCTGTAAAGATATACATAAATTTATTTTTAAATATATAATATTTTATTGTTCGTTTTACAATGATTATGGTGATTATTTTAATTATCACTCATAATTTTTACAATAATATAAAGTCCCAAGATGTTTTTTAGGTTGAGAGAGGATGTCATTGCCCCCCTCTCTCCAAAACCAGAATACAAAGTCCACGCCTATGAATGGGATTAAGGGAGACCATTAGAAGCCTTTATGAAGACAAAAGGAATATGGTCAGGACATGCAACATGGCATCCGAAGAGTTTCAAACCACTGGAGAAATCAGGCAAGGTTGTAACCTAAACATGGAGTCAGCACATTTTTATAATGGTATTAGAAAGGACTCTGAGAGAAGCCTAACAGGAAATGAGACCCTTTAATTTTGGTTACAGGAGGATGCTTCCTACCCAGTTCACAATGGTGGCCTATGCAGATAACCTGGTAGACTATGGGAACAATGGAAAGAACTTCCAGTTTAACCTGCGCCTCCTAGGAAATTGACAGAGAAATAAACATGGAGATAAATGTAACAAAGACAAAAATCATTTGTGTCAGAAGAAGCACCAACCAGAGGGATTGTCGAACACGAACTGCACAGGTAAGCGACTTCAAATACTTGAAAGCCCACTTGAACAAGAATGGCTAGGTGGATGGAGAGGTGTTGTTTTTTTGGAAAGAAAGAGGTTCCCAAAACTACAAAGGGGACAGTATTAAAAAATTCCTTCCAATCCTGACCTATTCTAGTGAGTCTTGGACCCTAACAGGGAAACAGAAGAGCAAATTTCAAGCAATGGAGATGGGCAAACTATGTAGGGCTTAAGACAAGGAGAGACCGAGAGAGGAATACCACTGTCCTATCCAACCTGGGTCTGCAGGATGCAAAGGAAAAAATAGAACACCACCTAAGCTGCTTTGGACATGTCTCTGGAAATGCCACAAGACAGATTAGCAAGGGTCACTTATGAGATGCAGGTGGGAGGTAGAAGACCTAGAAAGACCTGGGAAAGTGGAATAAAGGAGGCCTTTGGCCAGAAGGATTGGATTGGTTAAGAAAAAGCAATTGGACCAAGAAAGAGACTTGTGGAGTACAGGTGGAAGCCTCACACTGCTTAGTGGTAGATGAGGATGGATTAAGTAAGTAGGAAGAAAAAATTAACTTTAGATTTTTATCACTTCTTTGAAAATCTATAAACAACAAATAGTGATATAAATAATAATTTTCCTGAGAAATTCACAAAGAAAAAACATATAAATGATTTTGAATATTTTTCTCATCTATATGTTTGTCAAGTGGATAGGGCTACACCATCAAAAGAGGTAAACGTGTCTTCCATGGTTTTTACCTTATCAACTTTGTGAGAAATAACATTTTTTTTTTACAGTCTAATATCTAAGGTAAATGGAAACAGGCACTCTCTCTCTCTCTAATAAATAAAGATTGAATCAAAATGATTATGTTGCATTGTCCAGTATGAGTATAGCATTGGCAACAATTCAAAAATTGTATCTCTTAATTCATCCAAGGCTTGGAGATATATTTGAAATTAGAAAATCTCAAATATATCAAGTATCTCATTTGGAAATTTAAAAGATGATAAAATTCCAATAATTAATTTTATGGAATGTTTATTTAGATAACATTATTTTACACAGAATCAAATCAAAACAGTGAATAAATAAAATAATAAAAACCTCATGTTCAATAAGAAAAAATTAAAATCTATTTACTCTATTATAATCAAATTTTTATTTGAAAGATAAATTTGAAATGTTGGTAAGATTCTATATGCTAAAAATGATTTCATTAACAAACAAATAAAATTTAAAATGGTCAGTTGAAAGATAAATTACTACTTCTAACGACAACATTCCAATCTCAATAAATAATATTTGGGTAAGCCAAATCCTTTTAAGCATATTACATTATCCTTTGATATAATTACAAGAGCTAAAGAATAACATTAAACCGTGCATAGACAGAATGATTATATGGGACCTTCTACATACAAACATACATACTTACACACACAAATATACTTAATATTTCCAATGATTTTTTACATATGTACAGACATAAATGAGGATATATAAAATTAAAAGTAAAAACTATTTTTCTAAAGATGTAAATTGAATAACATAAGTTTAATGCTTTACAAAAAATAATAATATGTTTTATAAATAGCAGAAGTGCATTAATAAAATTTTCATTAGAGCACCAATAATGAACAATAGCCATGAATTATGTTTGTACTATTTGTTAAAAAAATTGCAGCATTCACATTTCATTATCTATGAATTCAACATGAGTAAACGGAAAATGTCCAGTTTTTCCCTTAAGTTCACCTTCCCACTGTCCATTTATATTCATTTTTGTAACTTTTATTATTTCACCAATTTCTAGCTTTAAAGCTGTCTTGTCATAAGCATTTGGAACTCTGGCCTGTTTTACTTTCGCAAACGCAGGAAGCTTCCTCTAAACAGATAATTAATAATAAATTACAAAATAGTGCATAAAAACATAAAACAATTTAAATTAAATATGTTTAATAATATTAAAAATAATAATGCAATTTTTATCAATCCTGAAACAATTAGAAAATAAAGTTCTACTGAACATTGCAATTATTAATATTGATGTAGAGATGGTTGACCGTTGATGTAATATGAGAAGGAGTTGATCAAAGGGGGGGGGGTGCGGTCAACTCCTTCTCAAATTATTAATATTGTTGGTAAGGACTTCAATTCTTTTTGTAATAATAAAACACATTTGATCCTTAGTCCTACTTTATTTTTTTCTTAATACCCATTTCAGCCTTATTATAGTAACATATTAATTATTTTTATTAATTACTAGGGAGGGAAGGTACCTCCCCCTGTCTACCTAATGGCGAACCAACCTCCATTCAAATAATTATACAATTGTTCATTTAATTAAATATGTGTTGAACCTCGTATTGTGTATCCTTTAACCTCGTACTCTCTTAATACAAAATAAAGATTTTAGACCCGGAATTCAGTATTGAAAAGTTGAGCTCCTGTAAACTTCTACTCACCTAATATCAAATACAGATTTTCACCTTGGTGTCTTTGTTACGATCCGTCCTGCTTGGTATATGTAAAATAAAATATGACAGTCACTTTTTTATAATAGAGAAATTGTCTATTTACTGTGGAGATAACACTATTCTATTGCAAATAACCTATTATCCCATGTTAACTTTCATTATTAAATAGAGATTATTGTAACACTTAATAACCGTTTTTCGGTTAATAAAGCCTTGATTAAGAAGTTTTAATTTCTCATTAGATTATACTACAATTTATTAGCAAAAATGAAATGTTTCTGACGCTTGACTGCCTCGATATTGACCCATCTTTGTCTAACGCAGGGAAAGACTGGAATCACTGGTATGCAACTTTTATTTAATTTTTAGCCACTGATGGTAACCTTACCAATGCAAAGAAGCATCAATTATTGATAAATTTTGTCTCTCCAACTGTTTATCCTTACTCCAGAGAGCGTTCTACTTTTGAAACGGCCATCACTACACTACAAAATCGTGGAGGTGTTGTGATCTCGTTCTCGTCGTGCCCCTGGATAGCCAACCAAACGATCACATAGTTGCCAAATGCCCAGTTTTACCAAAAGTGACTCATGGTGCGGCCAGCACAAACCCAGGCCAACTAAAACGGCCTTTCTCAAGGTCCTTATAACTTCACGTTAAAGGATCTTTTTTGGAAGGCAGGTGGTCTCACCAGTGAAAAGTACACCGAGTTGAAGCATTTTGTAATTTCAAACAAAATTTATTTATTTTGCATTATTGAGGATGGCACTGCTGCTGACAATCTGGAATGCTTTAGGTCCCCAAATTTCCAGATTTACTGACTGCCAAGAGCTAGGCAGATAGTATCGGGGATACTTGTTGGTGTAAGATATTCTTTCACAGTTAAGTTCCAAATTACAAAAGAAATTAATGCAAATGATAAATTGGAAGGGGTGGAAATAAATCTATGGTCAAGCAATCTCCATCATCAAATATATGCATTCTACAACCCAACTAATAAGAAACCGAATTTGAGTTGGCTTGAGAACTCATTGACTGATAGATCCCTTGTGTATGGAGACTTCATGGAACAGTTTATTGACACAAATATGATAGAATTTGTGGAAAACGAAAGTTCCAGCCTCCTTTTATGGATTATAAAAGTAACAGCACTCACCCTGATCTATAATTGGTGCACACGCGAATAGCTCCGCTGATCACCACACAGTTGCCCCTCCACCTGGAGCATTTGGTAACAAAATAATGCTAGCATACCTTAGTTAGTGGCCACTCAAATTCAATTAATAGTTCAGTACCTCGAATTCTCAGATGAAATTTAAAAAAGGCCAATTGGAAAAAGTTCTCCCAGCTCACTCACACAGCCATTACTCCAGAAACCATTACGAAGAGTGTGATACAAGCTGTGCACAACTTCAAGCGGCCATTCTCGAGTGATGATCTACAAAAACTAAAAGAAAGTAGGGATGCAGCAAGAAAAGATACAGAAAGGTCAAGAAAAATGGAAGACACTGTTAGACTAAGACAACTTACAACAACCCTTAAGTCGAATATAATTCAAGCCAAATGAAAGGCTTTTAGAGAATATTTGGCTGGTCTGGACTTTTGTCGAGATGGGATAAAAGCACATCAATTCATCTCAAAGCTAAATGGTGGAAAAGATCCAAGGAACAACCCTCTTAAGTTTAATAACAAGGAGATATTTTCTGGACTTGCCATAGCAAGGAGCTTTTGTAAATTCTTTGCCAAGGCCTCTAAATATAAACCAGCAGAAGACAATAAGTTAATTAATACTGCACCACCAATCTTATGTTTTAACTTTCTGAAAGTCAACTCTTTGAAGACGACTTCAGAAAGGAAGAGTTTGAACTTGCTCTGGCACAAACAAAGAAGGGAAAAAGAGGTGACCCTGATGACATATTGCCAGAGTTCCTTATAGAGCTGGATGTGAAAGCTAAGCTCATAGTGCTGGAATTCCCCAATGCTGTGTAACCGTCACGATATCCTTGTGCCTGGAGGAAGGATGAGGTGATCCCAATTCTCAAAAAAAGCAAATGTTCCTCTTATCCATCTAACTAACGACCAATCTCGCTCACAAGTGTTTTTTCTAAGTTCTATGAGGGAATGGTCTTAGCCCGGTTGCGGACATATTTAGATAGGGAAAATAAAATATCGTCAAAGCAAGCAGGTTTCCGAAGGCATCGATGTACAACTGAGCAGGTGGCTCGTTTTAGTGAGGATGTAAAAGATGGATTCCAACGGAAAAAACATACACTTGCAGTATATGTTGATTTTAAAGCTGCTCTTGACAAAGTCTGCTGGAAAGTCCTTCTGAAAAAGCTCTTAAAAATGAATATTGGTGGTAAAATATACAGAGCCATACGGTCCTTCTTGGCCCAGAGATTTCTCCAAGTAAGAAACAATGGCTGATTTTCAAGCTTCAAATCTTTTAGCCAGGGACTTCCCCAAGGATCTTTTTTGAGCCCCACACTTTTAAATATAATGATGGATGACTTAGTGGCTGTGCTGAAGGGAACACCTGGAATATCTGCTCTATTGTTTGCTGATGGTCTACTAATATAAGCAACTAGTAGCAACATAACAGCACTCGAAGAAGCAATTAATGAGGCAATGACAAGACTTTTTACCTGGACCATGTCAAATGAAATGGAAGTGAACACCCAGAAAACTGACTTTCAACTGTTCACATTATCAACCAAAGTGCATGAGCTGAAGGAAGTCATTTATAATAATGTTACCTTGCCAAGAACCTATGCAGGCAAATACCTGGGAGTTAGGTTAGACACCAAAATGAACTAGAACAGGCAAATTGAAGATATGGTGGGAAAGGGAGAACACATGCTTAAGCTTTTGTAACGCCTTGGAGGAAAGAAAAAGAGGGGCCAGCTAGGATGTGATGGGTTTTGCATATAAAACTTATGTACGCCCAGTACTGGAATACGATTCTGAAGTCATCTGTACTGCGGCTGATGCATCCCTGAAAAGACTGGACAGCCAGCAGAACAAGCACTGCGCTCAAGTCCTGTTGGAGCTATGGAGCTGCAGACCACAGCAGAGCCTCTTTCGAAACGGCGTGAGCAAGCTGCATTGTGTATTCATGAGCGAATGAGAAGAACGAACCCAGAGTTTTGGAAAAAGTACAAAATTCCAACTCAACGGCTCAAGACACAAGAATCTTTCATGCTAAAGGCGAAGGCTTTGCTTGAAGAAAGAGGGCTGGACTGTGAAGAAAGGGAGCCATTTATACAGGCACAGTTCCCAATCCCAATCCCAGGAGGGCAAGTTCAGAGTGCTGTTCTCTTTGTCGACTCTCAAGCAGCAATCCTCGCTATCACTGACGTGAATAAATGTCTGTCGAGTGCTATCTTGGAGTGAAAATCCCTTCTCTAGGATCTAACACTCTGAGGCACCAATGTGGTCCTACAGTGGATTCCGAGCCATTGTAGTTTTCCAGGAAATGAGGAAGAAGATAGTCTCACCAGGAGAATTGCCTCAAACAATCCATCCGAAATCTTACGATTCAATCCGACGAATGGTGAGGATGGTAGTGAAGGAGGAAACAAAAAATGTATACAAAGACAAGGTGGAAGGGAAACGTTATGGATGTTGGGTGGAAAACCCGATCCCAGCTGACCTACCAAGAGATGCAGTAGCCTGCTTCCGCCAGGCCACTGGTCACAACTATCTACAAAGTCATCTCCACAAGATAGGCGTGGCTGAGGATCCTAGGTGTAAATTATGTGAACAAGCGAAAATGGATGCAGACCACCTAGACAAATGTCCTGCTTTGACGGACATAATAAATAAAACATATGTGAATGATTATATAAAAAAATCAAACTTATACTGGGCAGAAAGATGTCGGATGGACGAATGACTAATGACTATGGCATAAGAAAAAAAACAACAATTACAAAATCTTAACATTAAACCGAAAAATGTTATTTATGCTAGACAATCTCTATCGAGAGGCAAACAACGTTCTGAGAAGACTGTCAATTTGCTGCCATCATAGCCAAACAGAATCGTAAGGACTGCGTATGTGATTTCTTTATTAGTGGACTGACTTTGTCAAAGACTCTTAGAAAATGATGCCTATACACTAGCATTATCACTTGAAATGAAACAGAAACATTTACAAAACTATGATTCCTCCTCCTTACTTGAATGCAGCATCAATATCTATTCATGATACCTCGCTACTTTAAACCCAGTCTCAACAACCTCCTCCTAAAACGGTATCTGTTTCTACACTGGTGAATAGAGACAGCTATTTTTGTGATGGAATCCTGATTCACTACGGGTCTTTTTGTCCTACCAGAGAGGTAGCTTGTAAGGGATGCGGCAAAATTGGCCATTTCAAGAAGGTTTGTAACTCCAGGTACAGATCAACAAGCGAATCCACCTACTTCGGCCTTCAAAGACCTCATAGTGACTATTAATTTTAGCAAAATTAATTTTACTTAATATCTCAGTGTAATATTGACTTAATTGCTTTGAAATTTACAGTATAATTTATATTTTCATTCATATACAGGGTGTTTCGTAATTGCTCAGCACTATTTTAGGTATGTGTCCACTAACACAAAATAAACAAAAAAGTTCATATTAACATATATCTCAAACTTATTTACTAAACAGATAACAAAGGTTAAAGATTTATTATTTATTATTATTACAACATTTAGAGTAAATGTTCAAAGGGGCCTCCGTTTTGTTGAAAGCAACATTCAACACGATGAATCCATGCTTCTCTGGATCTTCGTATAGCTACTATAGCTATAGCTATAGTTACTATAGCTTCCACGATCCGATTTCTTAGCTCTTCTTGCGTGCCAACTGTTGCAGAATAAACCATAGACTTCATCTGGCCCCACACAAAATAATCTAATGGCCTTAAATCTGGAGATCGTGGTGGCCATTTAACAGGTCCGTTTCGACCAACCCATCGGTCTCCATAAGTTGCATTAAAATAATCAGTAATCAAAATGCAGTTCAGGAAGTTAAAATCTCGTGTGTATTGTCGAATTAACCACTGGGAGACATTTCTGAGCTTGTTATAATCTTGTGGTAACAGATCTTGCCTACTCGATACGTGAAATGGATACAATTGTTGTTCACGTAAAGTTCGCCATACGCTGGTAGAGGAAACATTGAAACGACCAGTAGCTTCTGGTACTAGTAGTAGGAGATAACTGAACAGCATCGAGTATTTCTTCTTCAACCTTTGCAGTTCGTCGAAATCTTTGTCGACCGGCGTTTACTCATATAGGTTTTAGCCTACCATTATCTCTAAGAAGTCTGCCAATGGCCTCAAACGTTTTGCGATTTGATATTCTTCAGTTAGGAAATTTTTCACGATATCTTCGAACAGCAGTAGCACAGTTTCTATGTACCTCCCTGTAAGTTAAAAGCATGTCTGTTCTGCAAAAGTGAATAAATTTATGGTGTCTCCCATGACAATCAAAACTGAACTGTGTCACAGTATTCCCTCACACTAAAACACACAGAACTAGACAAACAGATGAGCAACTACTGTTATTGCTTATCATCCATTTGTTTATCGGGTGATTAAAACCTGTTATTTAGTATTAAACACGTTAAACTTTGTACAGTCAGTCTTAATGTAGTAAATAAATAATAAATCTTTAACCTTTGATATCTGTTTAATAAATGAGTTTGAGATATATGTTAATATGAACTTATTTATTTATTTTGTGTTGGTGAACACATACCTAAAATAGTGCCGTGCAATTACGAAACACCCTGTATATTGCTTCTAGATTTTTTCTTATGCATGTATCATTTCTTTCTGTGGAATATGTATGTTTTCAAAATTAAAATTATGTTCACTATTAAAAGCAAGTTGCACCAATGCTGTTTTTTTATCATCTTGTTTTTATATCTTTGCCCAAGGAGCTGAAACGTTGGGCATAAAGAAAAAATAAAGTAGGATTAAAGATCATAAGTGTTATATTATTTCAAATAACAAAGTAACTTAGGCACCCATTCCAATGATAGTGAGGGAATTTCCCTTTTTCTCCATCCTCTTTTTTCGAATAGAGGCAGCAAATTCAATTCGCAGCCACTATCTACTTCAATTCTATAAGGGACTTATTATTATGGGCAATGGGTCTGGCAATTAAACCTTACATTTTATCTTCTTCATAAAAACCTTCTTCGTAATCCTTTCCAAGAATTTCTGACCTTAAAGGACACGGCTCTTCTTTTTTCAGGCTGACCTGTATAATCCTCTAACATTTATGAAAAATATTTATTCCAATAAAATAAAATTACAAGTATTTTTTCCCATTAATTTATTTCAGATCCTATTAGTCAATACTTTGAGGATTATTTAAAAAAACATTTCTTTTATCTTAATTTTACATTTTCTTCAAAATATTTGAGAGATTCATGTTTGTGCTACTAACTGCACTATTTAATAGATATGTTGGTTGCTAAATATATTTTGGTTCTTTTCTGTAGGCCAAGACGAACATACTAAAAAATCATTTGATAAGATAAAAGTAGCCAAAATCGTGAATTTTTATTCAAACTATCACGAATGCTACAGTATTTTTTTAAGTAATGAAAACAATTTTTTTCACATACATTATTGAAAATTAAAAACTAAAAAAAAAAAAAATGTAAGGCACCAAAATCAAATTTTCCATTGTTGGTAATAATGGCCAATACAACCAATTTAAAAAATAAATAAAACGAGACCCTGTATTAATTAAGAAAAAATAATAAAACATAAACATAAAAATAATACAACAAATTAACTAAATGAAACACTATCAACTTAACTAAAAATAAAAAACAAGCAACAACAAGATGAATTTCTTAAGTTCTCCTACTTGTCTCTACCCCCAGTTTAAGTTTTAAATTACACATTGAAGATATAGACTGATATGATCTCAATAGATTGGTGAATGACGCTAAAGAAGGAAATTTACCTGAACATTAGATCTTCTTATAGGTTCTACATGACTTCCACTAGGAGGACTATTATCAACAAATGAAGAACCAAGATCTGCTAGTACATCTTGGTCATTATACTGAAATAAAATGAGATATATTAAATGATAAATTGACTCTGGCAATAAATTTCTTTATTAAAATTATAACTAAATGCAATAAATAATTTGAAGAAAAGCTTAATATGATAAGTAAACATGATCAATATAAACTTTTCTATGAGTTAATATAATATTATACAAATTTAATATAAGGTATAATAGCAAGAAACTAATTATGATAGTATTAACAGTTATTTACCACCTTGCATCGTATCAACCATACCTACCGATGTTTATTAAATTTTAGGCATTAATTATCCATAATCACGTCAATGAAGATTTAAAAAATATCAAATCAGCTCCCAATAAACAGTGAGCATAAGGTCAAATTTTTTGCTTATTGGATGAATTTAATTTTTTTAGGCAGCAAATATATCATTTAACCATTCTTCCTTTATAAGGGAAGATATAAGATGAGATATATTCTGTATATAAGGCAGAATATTAAGAACAAATTTAAATTTTTCGATTTAAATGAAAATTTATATTAAAGGGTTTTTAGGGATGCGAAAAAGAATATCATCTTTTTTTTATCTCAAAAAAAAAAAAAAAATAAAAAAATCATGGGGTAATAATATGTACTACATATTACATATGTAATACATCTATATATTTCATCCTATATAGATGAGATCTGTCTATGTTTATAGACGATAATAAAACTGTTTATATATGCACACCTCGCGCGGGCTCATTACCGCGTATGGGGAGCGTCCCACGGGCTGCGGATGTGGGGATGGTCGGTGGAAATTCCTTGGAAGTTCCTCCCAGCTAAGTCCGATGGACTCGCTGACCAACAATGAGAGGGGCCCTCCAGACTTGCTGGAGGGAGGGGACCTCCAGACTTGCTGGAGGTAGGGGCCCACCAGACTTGCTGGAGGGTGTGACGTAGGATTGAACGCCCTACTCACATATCTTTAGTTCACCAAACACCACAAAAAGTCATGGATCTCCCTAAGGTAAAACGCTCATTATCCGGAGGTAAACTAGTCCCCCGTTCGGGTCTCCGGGTGGGGACTGCTTTAGGGGATTCATGGCGCAAGTTGAAATATAGGGATTTAAATATTGGTACGTGGAACGTAAGGAGTTTAAACACAGCAGGGGGCTAAAATCGGTCGCGAATGAGGTAAATGGGTACAATTTGGATGTCGTGGCTCTGCAAGAGGTTCGCTGGCCAGGGGAGGAACTATTTGGTACGGAGGAAGCGGGAATCATTGTTTGGGTACCGGGTTTCTAATTAGGAGTAGATTACTATCCGCTTTGAGGGACTTATCGGAGACTACCAATGCGGATTTAGACGGAATCGTTCAACTATTGATCAAATATTTTCTTTACGGCAAATATTAGAGAAAAAATTGGAGTATAACGGTATTGTTCACCAGCTGTATATAGATTTTAAAAAGGCTTACGATTCTATTGACTGCCAGAAACTGTATAATATTCTAATCGAGCAGGGGATTCCAAAAAAACTAGTAAATCTAGTCAGGATGTGCTTGACGGAGACACTCAATAAAGTTAGAATCGGTAATAATTTGTCCGAAAAATTTGAGGTTCGTTCGGGCTTAAAACAGGGGGATTCCCTTTCGCCTGTCCTGTTCAATTTGGCATTAGAACATGCCATTAGGGAGGTAATGCGAACCGAGAAAGGGTTGGATCTGGGCGGGACAACATCCGTGCTGGGCTATGCTGATGATCTGGTACTGTTAAGCGAAGACGTTGAAACTATAAAACTAAATACGACAACGTTAATGAAAGCCGGTAAAGAACTAGGACTCGAAATAAACGTGGATAAAACAAAATATATGGTTAGCTGCAAAAATGGCGATACTACTGGTGATATCGATATAGATGGTAATATGTTTGAACAGGTAGATAAATTTAGGTATCTAGGTTCTACGATAACTAGAAAAAACGAAATTGAAGAAGAGATTAAGGTTAGACTGAAGGCGGGAAATGCTTGTTATTTTTCTGTGACAAAACTACTTAGTTCGCGCCTCTTGTCCCGAAACTTAAAAATTAGAATCTATAAAACAATTATCTTGCCTACAGTTCTTTATGGATGCGAAACTTGGCCGCTTACATTAAGGGATGAGCAGCGTCTTAAGGTTTTTGAAAATAAAGTATTGCGTAGAATATTCGGACCGAAGAAGGATGAGTTAACCGGAGAGTTCAGACGGTTACACAACGCCGAATTGCGTGAGCTGTATCCGGGTAATATAATTGAGGTAATTTCATCGCGGCGAATCAAATGGGCTTGTAAAGTTGTTGGGCTTAGTAACGAGAGAATTCCTAAAAGGTTAATATTTGCTGTGCCGAATGGTAAGCGTCCGAGGGGTAGACCGAAGCGAAGGTGGGAAGATTGCATTAAAGCCGATCTGAAGGGACTGGGTTTGGACGGCTAATGGTGGAGGGAGGTGTGTAATAAGCAATTGGTGGTGTCGGCATCGAACCTTCGGGTTCACTAAGCCTTTTATTATTATATATGCACATATAAGTTAAGTATAACGGACTTGAAACAATTAAAAAAAAGGAATAGGTTCACGAATTGAAACGTATGAAGTTGGAATCAAGCCTGGTTTATTGTTCCTTCTAATCCTCTATATATACATTCTGAGAATGTTTACATCAGTACTTTTGGTATTAATGCTAATACTGTCCCGCTTCGTACCTTAACTCTGCCCCCCCACCAGTTTATGGATACTCTTCGTAAACTTACTACTAATAAAATAATATATATATATATACAACAGCATTATATTCTTTCTCACACTGTAGCAAAGGTATGGAGTGTTCAATACTTACAATCTAAAATAATTAAACACACACACACACACACACACACACAAAAGTGTATATATAGCATTTCCAAGTCAATTTCAACCTTTTCCAAGTCAAATTCAACCTTTTCCAAATCAAATTGAACTTTTTCCAAGTCAAATTCAACCTTTTCCATTTCAAATTAAACCTTTTCCATTTCAAATTCAACCTTTTTTTACTTATTTAATTATCTTTACTTTTTCGATGTGTGGGTCTGTTATCGTATGAGTAGTTTTTGAAAATAACCTCCTTTTTAAGATTAGGTGACTGAATTTCGAATTATTTAAGTTTTTTTGAATTATTCGATATAAGGGTGTATTTTTGTGTTTCCCGATCAGTAAATTTTGAAAATGACATCCATTTTATGTTTACGCCACTGTGTTTTGATTTATTTAAATTTTAAGAATTTATCCAATATAAAGGTCTACTTTTATGTTTCTGGAGCCGTAGATTTTGAAAACGACCTCCATTTTAAGATTAGGGCACCGCGTTTCGACTTATTTGAGTTTTTCGGATATTTTTCATATGAGGGTGTATTTTTATGTTTCCGGAGCTGTAGATTTTGAAAATGACCTCCATTTTAAGATTAGGCCACCGCGTTTCGACTTATTTGAAGTTTTTCGGATATTTTTCATATGAGGATGTATTTTTATGTTTCCGGAGCTGTAGATTTTGAAAATGACCTCCATTTTAAGATTACGCCACTGCGTTTCGACTTATTTAAGTTTTTTTTATTTATTCGATGTAAGGGTGTGTTTTTATGTTTCCGGAGCTGTAGATATTGAAAATGACCTCCATTTTAAGATTACGCCACTGCGTTTCGACTTATTTAAGTTTTTTTGATTTATTCAATGTAAGGGTGTATTTTTATGTTTCCGGAGCTGTAGATTTTGAAAATGACCTCCATTTTATGATTACGCCACTGCGTTTTGACTTATTTAAGTTTTTCGAATTTATCCAATATTAAGGTCTACTTTTATGTTTCTTGAGCCGTATATTTTGAAAATAACCTCCATTTCATGATTACGCCATTACATTTTGACTTATTTAAGTTTTTCGAATTTATCCAATTTAAAGGTCTACTTTTATGTTTTCGGAACCGTAGATTCTGAAAATGACCTCTATTTTAGGATTACGCCACTGCGTTTCAACTTATTTAAGTTTTTAGAATTTAACAAGTATAAAGGTCTAATTTTATGTTTCTGGAGCAGTAGATTTCCCCCATTTTGTAAATGACCCAATTTCAAGTTTATGCCACTGTGTTTTGGATTATAAAAGTATTTTTTTTTACTTTTTCGGTATAAGGATCTACTTATATGTTATCCGAGACGTATTGAAATATTTCTAATCTTTAATATTTAAATTTATGTAATATTTAAGCTCCATTTTATGATTAAGCCGCTGCATCTCGAATAATTAGGCTTCATTTTGGATTTTTTCAATACAAAGTTTCATCAATATGTTTTCGAGTATGAATAAATAAATAAATATTATGAAGCTAAAGTTAAATTAACCACAGAATACAAACTAAAAAGCCGAAAAGCAGCTGGTAATAAATTTAACCTTCCGTATTCAGATTTTTCAGCTAATTGTTCGAAATCTTATAATTTTGTGACAGGAGACCACAACATTAAAAATAATAATAAGGCTTAGCGAACCCGAAGGTTCGATGCCGACACCACCAATCGCTTGTTACACACCTCCCTCCACCGCTCGCCGTCTAAACCCAGTCCCTTCAGATCGGCTTTAATGCAATCTTCCCACCTTCGCTTCGGTCTACCCCTCGGACGCTTACCATTCGGCACAGCAAATATTAACCTTTTAGGAATACTCTCGTTACTAAGCCCAACAACTTTACAAGCCCATTTGATTCGCCGCGATGAAATTACCTCAATTATATTACCCGGATACAGCTCACGCAATTCGGCGTTGTGTAACCGTCTGAACTCTCCGGTTAACTCATCTTTCTTCGGTCCGAATATTCTACGCAATACTTTATTTTCAAAAACCTTAAGACGCTGCTCATCCCTTAATGTAAGCGGCCAAGTTTCGCATCCATAAAGAACTGTAGGCAAGATAATTGTTTTATAGAACAACATTAAAAAAAGATAACTAAAATTAAATTAAAAATGAGACAATACATATTTTATTTATTTTGATCAGATATTTTTATTTATTTATTGAAAAATAAATTAATCCTTCGTATTTTGTTTTTATTCGAAGGAAAAATCAAAAACACTTAAAAAAACCGAAACACAGTGGCCTAATCTTAAAATGTAAGTCGTTTTAAAAACTAAGGCTCCGGCATCATAAAAGTAGACCTTTAAATTGGATAAATTCGAAAAACTTGAATAAGCCGAAACGCAGTGGCGTAATCTTAAAATGGAGGTCATTTTCAAAATCTACGACTCCGGAAACATAAGAATACACTCTTTTATGATAAAAATTCGAAACACTTAAAGAAATCGAAATGCGGTGGCCTAATCTTAAAATGGAGGTCGTTTTCAAAATCTACGGCTCCGGAAACATAAGAATACATCCTCATATGAAAAAAATTCGAAAAACTCAAAGAAATCGAAACGCGGTGGCCTAATCTTAAAATGAGGTCGTTTTCAAAATTACGGCTCCGGAAACATAAGAATACACTCTCATATGAAAAAAATCCGAAAAACTCAAATAAGTAGAAACGCGGTGGCCTAATCTTAAAATGGAGGTCGTTTTCAAAATCTACGGCTTCAGAAACATAAAAGTAGACCTTTATATTGGATAAATTCTAAAAACTTAAATAAGTCAAAACACAGTGGCGTAAACATAAAATGGATGTCATTTTCAAAATTTACTGATCGGGAAACATAAAAATACACCCTTATATCGAATAAATAAAAAAAAACTTAAATGATTCGAAACGCAGTCACTTAATCTTAAAATGGAGGTTATTTTCAAAACTAGGTACAGGACAGCATAATACTAGTCCCTAATAAATCCGAATAGGTACAATAAATCGATATCCGTAAGTGAAAATTCTACTTAGGAGAGCATAATAATAGACTTTCATATTGGAGGTGGGGAGGGGATGGCCATTATTTAAAAAAAAAATATAAGATTTACAAAAAATTAAAACATTAATTTGAAATGAAAACGGTTGAATTTGAATTGGAAAAGGTTTAATTTGAAATGGAAATGGTTGAATTTGACTTGGAAAAAGTTTAATTTGATCTGGAAAAGGTTGAATTTGACTTGGAAATGACATAGAAATATCACACTGAAAAAATCTAAAATGTTAAAATAAATGGATATGCAACCACGTTATCAAAAATTTGTTTGTATTTTTCAAAAGCTATGCCTTCGATAATATAGTAAGTGGCCTTCATTTAAAAAAAAAATCGAAAATTGACAAAAATTCGAAAGTTGAATTTGAAATGGAAAAGGTTGAATTTGACTTGGAAAAGGTTGAATTTGAAATGGAAATGGTTTAATTTGACTTGGAAAAGGTTGAATTTGATTTGGAAAAGGTTGAAATTAACTTGGAAATGCTATATAAAAAAAATAAAAATACACTTTTCTCTTTACATTTGTAACACCAATGAAACGAAATCCACTTCAGTGTTGCACTGCACTTTTCCTCACATAAATACACCAAGTTATAATATATAAAAAAAATAATAACCTCTATGAATAAAATACAAAAAAAAAATTCTTGCCTCTGGAAACAAGGGCACTCTAAGTCTAACGCTGCTCTGGCTTTGAAATTGGGAATTTTAACTGTTCTATGTGAACCGTCCTTCTCTTTTTCGGTTCTTTGATACTCTCAATGGTCACAACATTATGCTCCCTAATGATTATCACCCTAAATGGGCCCTCATTTCTCCGCAATTCCTTCCCCCTATTAGAACCAGCCTATAGCCTAACCTGCGATAAACAATGGACCCGATTTTTAATACCCCTATTAACTCCTTTACTTTTAAATTTTCCCGCGCCACTCTTTTTGTGCCTTAATTTTCTCCCATAGATTGCCCAATTCTATTTTATTATTAATTATCCTCCCTGTCATTTCCTAGTTCGCAGCTGTGCTCCCACAGTCCCGTTGCCGCCCGCATAATCTGAAGAGAATTTCAAATGGTGAGAACCCCGTTGCGGTATGTATGGAATGATTATATGGCACCGCCTTCCGCATTGCCATATCTGGTTCCAGCCCTTTTTCCACCTGATATACTCTTAAATGGTCGCTGCGTGTACTGTGCAGTCTCTCTATACTCCCCCTGCTCTTGGGGCGCCCCGGAGTGTTGAGATGCTACTTTACACCTAAGTTTTTCATTTCTGTTTTAATCTTGGTATTACCAAATTCCCTGCCCCCGTTGGACGTTATCCGGTAGGGCACTCCATAAAACTGGAACCACGTTTGAAGGGCTCCAAATACTGCCTCCACAGATCAATCCCGCACCAGGTACACCATCACTGCTTTGCTAAACAGGTCTATCAACATGACCTACTTATACCCTCTCCACGTGAATGTATCCACCTGCAAATCACTCAGCAGTGCATCAACTGTCGGTGTCTCCTCTTGCGTTATTCTTGGGGGGTGACTATCATACTTAGTACTCAAGCAAACCTCGCACGCCCCTATGAGTTCTGCTATTGTTTTCTTCATTCCCCACCAAAAATATTTACGACACAATGCCTGAAATGTCTCTTGCAATCCGTGGTGATTCGTTTTACCTTGATGGTAAGGAAGTGTCACCTCCTTCTACTGTTCTTTGTCCCGCACTGTGTCTACCATCAACTTACAACGAATGCACGTTCTGTCTAGCCCTATTCCTTCAGACCACCATATTCTCTTTATTTTATCCCAGATTGTCTCGTTTCCTATGTACAAGTAGTGAGTTTACCATGGTTTGGAAACGTTTTTCAGAGCTCTGCAATTCTGGTCTTCCCTAGCTCCTGGCTATGACCAAATGATTGTTATCCTGCTGCTTCTGTACTTACCGTACTGCACTTTTATTAGGCCCGAAGTACTGGTCTTGCAGATTATCTGGCGGTTTTTGTCATTAATAATTTCCTCCAGTTCTTCCATGTTCGCTGACCTCTCTTCTGCTGGGCTCCCCTCTTCTTGGGAATCATCTCCATCCTCATCTTCCTCTACAGCTTTTCCTCCCTCTCCTTCTGGCATCCACTCCCTCAGGTAATGTCTCACGTCTCTCGACGATTCTCCTGTGTCCCCCTCTATGGCATTTATAGTTATTGCTCTTGATAGCCAATCCACCACCACGTTCTCTTTCCCAGGTTTGTACACAATATCCATATTATATTGGTTCAGGAATTCCTTCCAGCGTGTGACTCTAGTCGAGGGCTCTTTCAGCTTGCCTGCCCACTGTAGGGGTCTATGGTTGGTATGCATGTGGAATTTCTTCCCAAAAACATAGGGTCTAAAATGGTCGATAGCCCATACGATCCCCAACTGTTCCCTTTTTAGCACACTATATCTGAATTCAGCGTCCGTAAGCCACCGGCTGGCATATGCTATGGGGCGATCTCCCCCATTTCCTTCTTGGGATAACACGGCCCCCAATGCGTATTCGCTAGCATCAGTTGTGATAGTAAATAACTTTGAAAAGTCAGGAAACACTAATACTGGTTCTTCTTGCAGCCGTGCCATGCATTTCCGAATATTGTCCTCCATTATTGGGGTTATTATCATCTTGCATTGATCCCTTTTACATCCCGAGGTATTGCCATTCTCCTAATTGCCTCCACTTTTTGAGCATTGGGTTTGACCCCGATGAAAAACATCATCAGGAGTTACTGGTTTACAAAACATAAAAGAACATTTTTTAGATTAAAAAAATAAATAAATGAGACTGTCTTCATAAGCACAGTAACGGTTTCTTAATACATAGTTTTAAAGTGACAATAAGACAAAAATATTGAAAAAAGAAATTAAATATCGTTTATCATGAAAATTAGATTAACAGGTTGTAAGATGTTTTACTTGTCAGAAGTATAGCTGTGTATATGTCACAAAAATGCAACTTAGTGAAGAGGAAACAGTTTTCATCGAATATACACACAACAAAATTTGTTTGTAGGGCAGTGTTATTAAACAAGGAAGTTTTTATAAAAGTGAGGTATCTGTAGTATAGTTGTAGGATGATAAATACAATCCATGATTTAATGAAAAACACAACTTAGCATAGGTATAGTTTGGCCCCTCAAAGGCTCCGTTAAATGGTTTTGACAAAGATAAACTCTACTTGTATTTGAAGGAAATTTTGTCTAGTTCACTACAAAGCAATTTTAATTACCTGAAATAAATAATTTTTTTTAATATCCTATCCTATGAAAGAGAAAACGTGACCACCTTAAGAAAAGACAAAATGCAAGACAAAAAACTCCTTTTCTGTTTGAAATCGCCCCAAGCATCAAATGAAATTTTTGTTGGAAATTTTGAATAAAATCAACTCCCTGAGTTTGATCATAAAGAACTGAGACACCCTATATATTAAAAGAACAAGAAAATACAATATAACAGAATGGAGAGGTTCATAATGATGAAGTTAACAGAAACAATAATAAATTTTTAAGATTCAGAAATAAAAAGATAATAAAAATATAATAGTATTATTTATTATAAATATACCTTTTGAATATAGGGAACTGGTATTGATCCCATTAAACCAGCACTGTTTTTGGCTGTCCACCACTGATCTTCATCTTTAGAAATAATTGTTAAAATATCACCTTTCTTAAACGGTAAATCATCTTGATCCTATAAAATAATGGATATTTTAACACTAATATCACTTACTCCCTTGTATCTATCTCATAAAATCAAAAAATACAGTTAATGTAACAAGACTGTATACATGAAAACTATGACTATGAATGAAATATAGTAATAACGAATTACTTCGAAACATTCATTACATTGTTACTCTCACTAGAGAACCTAACAACACTTATTTCAAAAGGGAGTAAATATTGTTTGACATAAATCAATTTGTACAACATTATATCAATTATATTGTTGTACAAAATTAACTATTTTGTTAATCACACACACATAGTCCAAAAGGTGTAATATTTCATATTAAGGTGTTTCCTTAAAATGACCATATCAACAGGCCTGATGAGAAAAATGCACGTCTCCCAGCATTTAGCCACTTGACTACAAAATGGTGGCCATGTGAAGATAGAGGCCCTACATAGATTGTAAGTGTATATAAAGAAAGGGCTTATAGATATATAAAGCTACCAACCCTTTCAATTTATAGTATTTACAGTCTTAAGACATGACATGAAATGATAATCAGTTACCCCATACCCGTGGATTTCATGTCGAAAAATTGAATTTACGATCCAAAAAGTTAATTTTTTTCGGTTTTTAGCATATGTCAGTAAAACTATGCATTCTATAAATAATAATTTTACTATGTGAAATTAAAGTTGACAAAATTTTCAATAGAAATGTTTATTATTAATTTTCTTTGTTATATTCTATAGTTTGAATGATATCCATCCTCGTAATTCACTAATTTAAAAAAAAAAATGTTTGCATCGCATTTTTATCATTATTGGACTCGCCAACTCTTTATCTTTTCGCTTTATGAAATAGTCATAAAGAAGAAAGTTGTTTAATATTACATTTTCTTTAAGAATAGATATTACTTTACTATCTCATCTTCAAAGGCTAGAGTAATTATAATTTTATGATTAAACTCCGACACTATACAGAATAACTTAGTTATCACAATTTTCGTTATTACACAGCTTTTAATATGCATATAAGACAGTGTATATAATGTAAGCCAATGTATACACACATATGTTGTCTTATATACAGATTATGAGCTGTGTAGTATTGAAAAATGTGAAAAGTAAGTTTTTCTGTATAGTTTCGGAATTTGATTATTAAGTTATAATTGCTGTAGTCTTTGAATGGTTAAAGAAAAGATAGTAAACTAATAGATATTCTTAAAGAAAATTTAATATTAAACAACTTTCTTCCTCATGACGTTTTTGCAAAATGAAAAGATAAAGGGTTGGTGAGTCAAATAATGATAAAAATGGCATGCAAACACTTTTTTTTTTGTTTTCAAAATTAGTGAATTACAGGGACGGATATCATGGAAACTATAGAATATAACGAAAATACTAATATAACCAGTTCTATTGAAAATTTTGTCGGCTTTTATTTCACATATGACATTATTATAGATAGAACACATAATTTCACTGATATAAGCGAAAAAAGTTAACTTTTTTAATTGTAAATTAGATTTTTCCATTTGAAATCCATGGGCATGGGGTAACTGACTATTATTTGATGTCTTAAGACTGCAAATACTATAAATTGAAAGGTTTGGTAGCTTTAAATATATATAAGCCCTCTGTATATGATCAATTTATAAGGACAAAGCTTAGTATGAAATATGACACCTTTTTTGCCACAGGTTCCCAGACTAACACTTTTTCAGTTATAATTGATATAATCTAATTGAAGAAAAACAAAGTAGATGTATCATAATTCTTCTTAATACAATGATAAAATAATCATAATATAATATAAATAATAGGAAGATATTAATATTATTATAAATAACAAAACAACAGATATTATGTCCTAGAGGAAAAACAAGAAGTCCACAGGCAAGATTCAATGACCCAAATGTTTTCAGAATATATAAGTCTTCCATAACTTTGCTCACTTCAATACATCTGAAGACAATAGGGGCTTAGTAATATCATTACTAAATTAATTAAAAGCAAGTTCATAATCTATATAATCCTTTTTTGAACGTAAAACTCCTGTAAATAAGTCTACAGCTACTGCTTTATATGTGAAAATTTAAATTGAAGTGGAGAAATTTCATATTTTATTAGACCAGAAAACTGATGCCGTCCAAGTCACTCACAGAATTAGTCCAGTCAAATAGTGATTACATCTGGACAAAATTTGTTGTCAATTACTCTGGAGTACTGTGGTACTAAATCCAAATTTGATATTCACAACAAAAAAAAAGTCTATAAAGTGGTCGGAAATTAATGAAAAATAAAACAAAAAAAACAGCAACATTTTCCTACTTTTTTCAGTTGTTTGTCAGCATCTCTGAAAATATGCATTTCATCGAAAATACCAATTTATACAAAGTTAAAGTAGACAAAATTTACCATAAATTTTATCAGTAGTTTTTGAAAATAGGATAAACTGTGAGGAGATCAAGCATGTTGAGTATTTGAAAAATTATCATTCATCAGTTATTTGCTGATAGCTCTTAATCAACACATTTCTTGAAGAATTCAACATTTTCAAATTGAAAGAGTATGAAATTGCCTTTAGAACTGATGAATTAATATGGGAAATGATGAACAACTATTAAAGAGATTTCAAGATGTATTTTGGTAGTAATTGCCACTCTCAAATTAAAACTCTTCATCCTTTCCACCTGTTAGGAGTAATTTAACTATATTCATAAAAGTATTGGAAACACAAGAAGAAATTTATTAAGATTTTGAGGAGTATGAGTGGCATACAAATTAAGAGAACAAAATATGTCTCAAAGTGCGAGACATCTAAAGACATGTTTTAATAGCAGTTGTAGAAGCAGCGGGCGATCAAGTATCAACCAACAAATCTGCTCTACCTAATCCATAGGCACTATTTATTGCCTTATTAATTAATTACTGTTAAAATGTTAAAAAGAAATCCAATGAGGATAAATATGTATAAATGAGATGACGAATAGCAGAAAATATATATATGTATTGAAAATAATAAACAAATGAAATGAAATGCTACAAATTAATAAATGAAATAATAAATTAATAATATTTCTCTTAATACAAAATAATAAAATAAATGAGAGAAATAAATTATTACTTTAAACATTAAAGATAAAAAAAAGAACCTTAAAATTAAATTTACAAATCTATGAGATTTAATTAATCATTTAATGGAAGTGAATTTAATTTAAATGTTAACTTCAATTGAACTATAGTACAAACAATTATATATAAATGTATATAATTTTTAAATTAATATTTTTATATAATAAAAAAGAAAAAAAAAAGATAATATAAGTGAGACCAGCCTTGAACTAGGCTTGTTCACTGTTGAAGGCTAAGATGCTAGCCACTAGATTATAGACAAATCTAAATATCACAAAATTAACTATGTACAAGTACATGTGCAACCTCAATGTGAGGTGTAAATCTATGAAAACAATTTTTTTTTTATTCTTAGTTATTGAAACTGGAGACCCGTGGGGTCATTAAATGTTTTTAGAGCGGCACCACTCACCTTAAAACTGTTCATACATTAAAAATAAAATGTAACCTCCAGCAGACCGGTCACATTACTCTGTTTAAATGTCAGTGTTGCAGCTGACGGGAGTCCTGATGCAGGAGAATAATGTCCCAGATGAGGGAAGTCACCGTCACAGCTTGGGATGATGAAACAAATGGGTTTGCCAGGAGCAACTGTGACGGGACGAAGAACCTCATGGAGGCAGTTCTTAACTTAGTGCTTCCAGCAGCCATACAGAGCTTGCAATGTTTTCTTTTTGCCTTCGGTATTAAGTGATATGACGAGAGGCGGGCCGACCCGGAAGTGGCCGAAAACATCGTCGCTGGGACGTCTTTGTAGTGAACGAAATATTTAGGGCCTGTACATATAGTATTTAGTAATACAATTATACAAAATAAAATTTACCCCCCAAATCTAGATATGGTGACAAAAATAAATAAATTCACTCATGTTGGCGTCAACAACAGTGTTCTAGAACACTGCAAATGATCATCAAATGTATTAAGGCACGGACTAGGACAAAGTCTTTTATGTTTTCCTAAAGACTGACCAACCAAATATGGCTCTTAAGGAGAATAATATAAATAATAAAGTAAAATTCCATTAAAAAATAGAAAAAAATAATTCTATCGGATTTTTTGGTAAGAACATCTATAGGAACAATGATAAATAAATAACAGAATGGATAAAAGAAAAAAAACAGTGGTTTTATATTAGATTACTTCTTAGATTGGGAACAGAGTAGCTCAGAGGTAAGGCACTGGCTTCCAAGCTCAAGGTAGCGGGGTCAAATCCAACAGATGACAAAGAATTTTCATATGTATTGAATCAACCATGGATTGAACCTAGGGTCAAGAGATCCTCTAAGGGCGCTCCCGGCCTCTATTAAATAATTAATTACGAGGGAAAACTTGGTTGTTGAGCGTGATCATCCTGGCTTGATCATCTCCCTGTACAACCGTTAGCCTTGTAACAGTACTTCCTTACTAAGTACTGAACTGATGACCCTTCATGGGTTGTAGTAGTACAGATTTTTTCAATATTCCTCGTTAACATATATACAAACAAAAGATTATGCATCTTATAAGTTGGGAGGTAGGTTAAATTGGACAGGAAAAGTGTTTGATTTTACATATTTCATTTTGGGCAGTATCTATAAACTTTAATGTAAATATGTATAGGTTTTAAAATGTTGCAAGGAAAGCCAGTTTTACCGGCTGTTCACTTTTGGGTGTATTGATTGACTATACATTAACTCTGTAGGAGATTTAATGATATTTCAATTTGAACATAGTATATTTCTTAGAGCAATGTATGAGTCATCAGTAAAAAACTGATGAAGAAGACAATTGTTTGCAAAGTAAATAAGTACTCAATTAGCTCTATTTACTCATCCATTGGTCCTACACTCAAAAATATGTATAAAACTTATAGCAAATTTTTTATACTTTAACTCTGTACAA